ACTTTAAGTTCTAAGGCTGGGTTCTTTGGACCTGGCATGTGATTAGGAGTGAGTGCTAAGCTTTTGCTTAGACTGTCATCTTGGTATGGCGCACGCCAATTGTCATCTTCACGAATTTTTGGGATTTGGATTTTCATTATTTCTGAATACGTGGTTTCTTCTCTCTCCAGCTCTCTTATGCATTCGTCAATGACGTCAACCAGATAGCAGGTGTCGTCTATGGCAGGTGCTTGTAAGAACTTAGTGAGGATGAATTCAATTTTTTCTTCTCCAACTTCAAATGTTAGCCTACCCTTCTTCACGTCAATGATAGCTCCGGCTGTGGCTAGGAAAGGCCTTCCTAAGATAGTCAGAGTGACTGAATCTTCCTTAATGTCCATGATTATAAAATCTGTTGATATATAGAATTGACCTATTCGTACTGGGACATTTTCAAGTATACCAACGGGATATTTAATAGATCGGTCAGCTAATTGAATGGATATTTTGGTTGGTCTTAATTCACCCATACTTAATTTTTTACATATAGATAAGGGTATAACACTGATGCTGGCTCCTAAGTCATATAAAGCTTTGTCTATGACGAACTTTCCAATGACATAAGGTATGGAGAAACTACCCGGGTCTTTCAACTTAGGGGGCATGTTGTTTTGGATTATTGCGCTACACTCAGCAGTAAGTGTAACTGTTTCATTATCCTCGATCTTTTTCTTATTAGATAAGATTTCTTTAAAGAATTTAGCATGTGAGGGCATCTGAGTGATAGCTTCTGTAAAAGGAATTGTAATGTTCAATTGCTTCTGAAGTTCAACAAATTTCTTAAACTGCCCTGTGGTTTTGAAGTTTATTAATCTCTGAGGATAAGGAATTGGTGGTTTATAAGGTGGTGGAGGCACATAAGATTTTTCTTTTTCTACGGCCTATTGGTTGTTATCTTCCTTCTCTTTGGGTTCAGACTCCTTTTCTGCCTATTTAACAGGTTTTTGATACATGGCTGGGTCTTGGCTCCTAGGATCGATCGGTTCATCCAGTTCTTTTCCACTTCTTAATATGACTGCATTTGCATAACCTTTCAGATTAGGTTTTGGCTGTCCAGGAAATCTGCCAGCGGGTGCAGCAGCAGGGGCTTGTCATTGAGCTACTTGTGATATCTGTGTTTCAAGCATTTTATTATGGGTGGCTAAAGCGTCTACTTTGTTAGTTAGTTGCTTAATCTGCTCACTAGTCTGAATGTTTTGATTTAGGAAATCCTTGTTCGTCTGAACTTGAGTGGCTATGAATTTTTCCATCATCAATTCAAGGTTGGATTTTCTAGGGGCGTTAAGAGAAACTACGGCTGGTTTTTGATATCCTGGTGGTGTAGAAGGTGTTTGGTTAGGTGCATACAGCGTGTTATCACTTTTGTAAGAGAAGTTCAGATGGTTTTTCCAGCCTGGGTTATAGGTGTTCGAGTAAGGGTTTCCTTGAGCATAGTTCACTTTGTCTACAGGGGTTCCTGTCAGTAATTTACATTCGAGCACAGCGTGACCAGTGATTCCACATAACTCGCAGCTCAGAGTTACAACATCTATAGTGGCTGGCGGTGTTATGGTTAGATTGTCAATCTTTTGCGTCAAGGCATCTACCTTAGCATGGACCTTTTCAAGACTACTGATCTCGTACATCCCACCTTTTGCTTGGGGTTTCTCTACTGAAGTTCTCTCACCTCCCCATTGGTAATGGTTTTGAGACATGTTTTCGATTAGTTGATAGGCTCCATCGTACGGCTTATCCATAAGTGCACCGCCCGCGGCAGCGTCTACTGTTAATCGGGTGTTGTACAGGAGCCCATTGTAGAAGGTATGAATAGTCACCCAGTCTTCAAGAACGTGGTGTGGACATGCTCTCATCGTATCTTTGTATCTCTCCCAAGCTTCGTAGAGAGATTCTGATTCTTTTTGTCGAAATTCATTGATTTGAGCTCTTAGCATAGCCGTTTTGCTCGGCAGAAAGTATCGTGCTAAGAAGACGTTCTTCAGCTATTCCCACGTAGTAACAGAGTTGGATGGAAAGGATTACAACCAAGCCCAAGCTATATCTCTAAGAGAGAAAGGAAAAAGACGTAATCTTATCGCGTCTGGAGTTACACCGTTAGCTTTCACCGTGTCTGCATACTGCAAAAACTTCGTTAAGTGTTCATTCGGATTGTTCGTTGCACTTCCCGAAAATTGGTGTTGTTGTATGGATGACAGCAATGACGGTTTTAACTCAAAGTCATTTCGATTGATAGCAGGGGTAGAAATGCTACTATGAGGCTCTTGATGGGATGGAGTAGCGTAGTACTTTAGAGGTCTGTTCTGAGGTCTTTCTGCCATTTTTGATTCTTCAACAGGATCAGGAGTATGAGCGAGAAGATCAGGAATATTATGTTTACGTTGATATTCTATTATGCGCCTTCTTAGATGTAAGAAGCACTCTAGTTCGGAGATTGGTGGTTGTAAGTTGTCGCCTTGTGAGCGAGTACTTGGCATATAATCGACAAACGAGAAAAGGGGTAATAAAATGGTTACCTTGGTCTATACTGCGTAACAAGGAATTACACTATTGACTAAACGGGTCCCCGACAACGGCGCCAAAAACTTGATCGGGACTTTCTCAGTCTAAAGGAACTAACTGCAAGTGCACAGTCTATCACGTAGTAATAAAGATATCAATCCCACAGAGACCGCTAATCAAGCTAGTGTTATCGGGTGTTACTATGTTTAGCTAAGGCGGAAGATGTTTTTAGGGAAATAAATGCAATGTTATGGGCTGTAAAGGAAATAAAAGTTATAAGTTTTAAAAATATCTATAAGGGATATCGGTATGCAATGCCTTAGTTAACGGGGATTCTACAGGTCACTGGTGCTTTTTAGTTTTTGCAAATACTTTTCAGGAGAAAATACTCGTTTAAAGACCTTTGCCTCACGCTGGTTGTTGACTCGGGTCATAATTTTAGGGCGGAATGTACGCTCTCGCAGTCCCATTCGGGGTTTAAATTATTTTTTAAAAATAAATGAATTTTGATTTCTTTTAAAGCGCTTTCGCTGTGTTTAAAATCAATGCCTAGTTTTTACTATCCGGTTCAAACCCCACGCTTTCACGTGCCAGCTCGAACCTTAATAAGCTTCCTACTCTCATGGCAAAACCGTTGTAAATAACTTCTCACTCTCGTGACAAAGGTTTATTTATAAAATTAGATTAAAAACTACAGCTAGAAAGTTGTTTTAAAAAAGGTAAGGCGCACCGGGTATAATCGAATCCCTTCCTACTAATTTGATCACATACTGACAATAGCGGTTTAGCTAGACATGATATTTAATGCGAACGTAAATAGACAATAACGGTAAAATGGTATAACATGCATACTGACAGAATTAAAATAGGAATTCAATTAATAAAAAACCTGCAAGTCATACTGATCTTGAATTCTTGAGTAGTCCTCCACAATGTCGGCAGGATTCTACTTCGGCGAAATACAAGTGCAGAATGAAATACAGTACTTGAACTAAAGGAAAAGGAAAAGAAATAACAACAAGAATAAAAATGGCTTCAACAGGAAATTTGACAGCACTTTCGTATGTAGAATCAAGCTCTCCTCTTTAGTTCAACTGCCCTCCTTTTATAGTCGAGGTTGCATAAGGAAAAGTCGGAGGAAAATGAGTTGAGGGAGAGGATTCTCAGGGAAGTCGTGCCTAAATTCTCTCCCTTTCGTGGGCACGTTCTATTTTGAACGTTATAACTGGAAATATGGTCGTGACGATCGTGTTGGGGCAATGACGATCGTGGTTGTCGTGACAACCGTGGTGCATTGTGACGACCGTCACACTCCCAAAATCCTGCATTTCTGTTATTTTCTGGCTTTTTCTCCTTTTTTTGTCCCTTCCTTGCGTGCTTTTCTATGCCTTGCTTATTTTTAGCGTGAGAATGAAATACCTGCAAACACACTTAGCAAACTAGCAGAATAATCGAGAATCGGCTTTAAATCGTACAGTTAATCAATGGAAAATACGACAATTATAAGGTACATTTTCGCGTTATCACTGAACGTCATTACGGTGGGAGGCCATGACGTTGAAGGTTCAGAGAGGTAGCTTTGGTCTTTTGTTTGGGAAGATTGGGAAATCTTGGTTCAAAAAGACGGGGGAGCTGGTGTTCCCACAGACGACGCCACTGATCTGGAGTGATCAGAATGGATCGTCTTGGCTTTCGATGTAAGGCAACAACAATGGTTGTAGGAGAGGAGGGGTGTACCTGCAAGGTACTCCAATTCCAAAGTAAGTTTTTGAGCCAAAGAAAGCAAGTACGAGTGTTTAGGTATGAGCAAGAATGATTAGAATACCTGACCCTCTCAAGAGAGAGGGTATTTATAAGATTCCCCCCAACGTGGGGCCAAGGTCTCCCATGTAACCAAAATATCTGGTCGACCAATGGAGGACTTCCAGGTGGAAGATCTAGCGCATGATCTTTGACATGGTCCAATTGTCTCTGTGACTTTCAGAGGGGCAGTTGGTCGCGTGAACTGTCAAGCGCGTGATGGGCACGTCCCCAACGACTATATACTCCAACGACTATATTGTGCCCAACGACTATATTGTGCCCAACAACTATATTATGCTCTATGGTCGTATTGGGCCTGGCCTTAAAGTAGGCTGGATTAGGCCTTGCCCAGCTGGGGGGCAAGTGACAGTCCAGTCCAGAACAATTATGCTTCAAACTTTGCAAGGTGTGCCGACGTTAACACTGAGAAGTTGCATGGTATGAAAAGTCATGATTGTCTTGTTTTTATGGAACGATTGCTTCCAGATGCATTTTGTTCACTACCCAATCACGTGCTTAATCCACTAATTGAAATTAGTCAATTTTCTAGAGATATTTGTGCGTAAGCTTTAAGAGTGGATGACATCGTTAAGTTGGACCGAAATATTCCAGTCATTCTCTGTAAGTTGGAACAAGTACTTCCTCTTGGTTTTTTTGACTCTATGGAACATCTACCTGTGCATCTTGCATATGTAGCTTTTCTTGGTGGCCTGATTCAACATAGGTGGATGTATCCTTTTGAAAGGTTATTGGGTGATTCAAAGAGATCGGTGAAAAATAAAGCTAAAGTTGAAGGATTAATATGTGCGCATTACTTGCATCGAGAAACATCTCATTTTTGCAGTCACTATTTCAATCACTTGATGTTAACTCCAAGAATCATAAGGAATCCTGTAAATGTTAACAAAAGAAGTCAATTTACCTTATCAATCTTCGGGCTTCCTGGTAGTCCCTATGGAAAAAAGGGTGTGCATTGGCTGACTAAAAAAGAAATGCAATCAGCACATGTTCATGTCTTAATTAACTGTGTTGAAGTTAAACCATATATTGAGTAAGTATATCCCAACTGTTTAATATTATTCACCGTATGAATACAAAACTTATTACCTTGAAACCTATAGTGTGCTTCTTTATAGGGAATTTAACATCTCCTACTTTCATAATACCGGTGTACAAGCAACATCCGGTCACATACATGCTCATTTTCCAACATGGTTCAAGGAGAAATTGTCATGCATTGTTGCACCGACTCAAGAAATACTCCATCTGAGAAACTTGTCTGAAGGCCCTATTCAAAGCGCAAATGAATGACATACATACTTCGTGAAAGAATATAAATTTCACACTGAGACATGGACTGAAGGGAAAAAAACCATAAATAGTGGTGTATTTGTAAAAGGAGTTACAGATGGTGGTGAGGACGACTTCTATGGCTTTGTTAAACATATCTACGAGTTAGTATACAATTATTTGGACTCAGAAAATAAAGTTGTCTTATTTTATTGTGACTGTAGGATCCATCTGCCAGAGGTACAAAAATAGATAAGACATATGGTATTGTTGAAATTCGAATGGACCGAAGGTACAAAGAGTATGACCCTTTCATAATGTCACATATTGTTAGACAAGTTTACTATGTTACTTATCCTTCAATTGTATCACGTAAACGAGGGTGGTCTGTTGTAATAAAAACAAAACCATTGGGTCATATTGAACCTTGCGATCTAGTGGAAGATGTTGCTTACTAAGTTGATGAAGTTGAACAAATTAATGATGTGATTGTAGTTGAACAAATTACAAGTTTGTCTGATACAACTGTTGTGGGGCATCAAGTTGATGCGTCTATATTGTTGAATGAAAATGAAGATCACGACGAGCATGAAGAGTTTGGATCCGAGGATAATATCACATCAGATTATGATAACGATATGGACGAACATGATTTTGAATAAATTGTTTTTGTAATTTAACTTAATGAAACCTTGTATTAATGTGTTATCAATATATATCTATGTGATTGTGTTTTTTTTAAGATTTATTATTTGTGTTGTTCACGAATATATATTAAATGTGTATTCTTTATAAATAGGTAAAATGCCACCTCGAACTGATAAGAATAAGAGTAAGAAGTCCTAATGTCCGAGAGTAGTAGTATGTCAGGCACCTCAGTCAGCCATGTGTCCTCCTCCATAGAGTCAGTTAGATTCTATGTCCATGGCCAATTATCAGCCTTTCATGACATTGCTCTCCCCTCAGGAGTAACCAGCGTTTATTAGCTCATCTGGGCTCCAGCTTTTATTAGCCCATCTAGGGGCCCTAGTTATCCATATCAGCAACCTGGGGGACCAAGTTATCCATGTCAGTAGGTATCCTCATCCTTCACACAGTCTGAGGGATCTAGCTTTCGACCTCCCTACCAGCAGGTTCCCACACCCTTCATGCAGTCTAGAGGATCTAATTTTCCAACTCCCTCACAGGTACCCTCATCCTTCACGCAGTCCGAGAGATCCCATATTGCACAGCCCATACAGGTACCCTTACCATCCACACATATACCTATGTGTGAGGATAATGATGAGGAGGCAGTTGAGGACGATCATGCGGTGGATGATGAGGAGGCAGCTGAGGACAATGATGAAGAGGCTTCCAATGATGAGGTAATTCATATCATTAATGGAAGATATTTTATTTGGCCCAACGAAAATTCGTAAGTTTTAAATTTTTAAGTATACATGTTTCCATTTTTTTATATTAACTTATATTTTGTTCTGGACTGGGTTGGGACCTGCCCCTCAGTCGGGCAGGCTCAATCCAACACTATGTTAGGAGGCCCAATAAGGCCCAATCCTCCCATGTCGGGCACGAGCCATATATATATCGGGCAGACGACTCCCTTGACGGGGAGACTCACACATTTCCCCCATGTTCTCCACGTGCTCCCCCATGCAGTGACACGTCATCAGACAACTAACCACCTCCGAAAGAGTTGGTTAGCCCATCTTCCAAAGATTACGGGGAAGTTGATCTAGGGCGAAGACAGCGTGCTGGTCTTCACTACGCCATATAAGCCCTGACAGTCACTTGGGTTGAGCCTGGTAGTCTGGCCTAATGCAAGTAACCATTGGCCATGCGTTGGGGTCTCTCTATAAATACCCTCTTTCCCTAGAGGGTCAGGTATCTTATTCTCTACACCTATTTCTCTGTACTTGCCCTCTCACTTTGATCCTTTACTCACTTAAGCACCGGAGTGCCTTGTAGGTACACCCCCTCTTTCTCCCTAACTTCGGTGAAAGCTACAATCCAACAATGCATGGCAGACCATTGATCCTCTCTAATCAGCTAAGATCAGTGGCGCCGTCTATGGGAAACTTAGCTTCCCCGTTCTTTCTCCTGTCCGAGCACAGAAGCTCAAGAACCAAAGTAAAATCAACCTTCAACTTCCATTCCAATCATGGCTAGCCCATGCAATAACAATGCCTCATGATCTGCCGTTACCCCCTTTGCCAACGGGGACGGCCACAACCCCAACATGGCCGTCCATAACGAGGAAGGTGACCACAGGGACGGGCGCACCATTTCCTTTTTCTCAGAAGACACAACCTTCAACACCGTTTAGCGCTTAGACAGCTCGACTGTCTACCAGCCCATTCTAGATCTGGCGGGCGCCGACCCTACTGTCACGGCCCTATTCGCCGCGATCAATAAAACCAACTTGATTATATTTGGGTAGAATAAACGAATAAGGATTCTCAAGCGAGAACAACCGTTGCGCTCTCCCCCGCAAAGACACTGTCACCCGGTTTCTCCCAGTTCGTCTCCTCCCCCACGGAGACACGGTCGACGACACTCTGTCAGCCTTTCTCCTCCGAGGAGACATTGTCGAAAATGTTCTATCAGCCTCTCTCCCCCGTGAAGACACCGTCACCAGGCTTCCCTCAGTCCCTCACCTCCTCCACGGCAGACACGGTACGTGAAGGACTCCAGAAGCCCATCGCCCCGACCGGCAGAGCCCCGTCCCCGCCTTGAGCGACCCCAGCCGACGCTTTCTCACAAGAGGGACATGCCCCCTCCTCGAGAAGAGCGACGCTCCCCGGCTCCGAAGAAGAACAAAGCAGATGCAACTGTTCGCACGTGATTTTTGCGCGGACAATCTCTGACCTTCCTCCGCGGGTTTGCTTGCGGGACCGACCAAACTAGTCCCAGGACACTTGGTTTTGGGTGGATTGTTTACTTGGGTTATGGTGCACCTTTGACGGTTATGTACTTCGTGGTGTATGTAGAATTAAACTTTAGACAAATAAAGTTTAATTAAGATAAAGCAAATGCTGAAGCAAAACATTAAAGAGTTTCTGAACAAAAAAGGTACTTTAAATAACATAAAAACTTGGTAAATTTAATGCAAGAAGTAAAAAGACAACTGGACGTATCTGTACATTTTGGAATGAAAAAGTGAACTCTTTTCTCTTTAGTGCGGTACTCAGAGTGTTTTTCTTCTAATACTGACAAAAGACGCCCCTAATTCCTAGAAAAACCTTGCTTTATATAGACATATAAAATAACTGCCAAAAGGCTTCAGGATGCACCACGTGTCATCCCACGTCTTTGGAAATTGCCTCCACGTTTCTCTTTTCAAAATGATTTCCTGCCAGGCACTAACTTCTCCCGTCGAGAACACCCTTAGTTTTCTTCCTTGGGTCGATCAACGCGGGGATCCGTCGACCAGACCACTTCACGGTGTCGGTTCATGGCACAATGCTAACAAGTTTTTTGTTGTCGACTTGGCTTTTATGCAAGGAGCTTGTCGGTATTCACTCTTCCTTCGCCTAGCTTCTGTCGAGGTCGATGTTCCTAGTTGGCTAATTTTCAGCCAACAAGATGCCCCACCAAAACCCAAGCTTCGGCGGAGGTTTCTGTCGACTGAGAGGCTTCGTGTTTTTCGAGGTATACAGTATTTTGTTTTCGTCATCATGGCTTTTATGTCGAAGCATCCACGTGTCAATCGCCTCCTGACGTGATGATGACACCTTTATGCGTCACAACTTCCAAGAACTCCCATCATTCTTTTCCACTTCCCCACGTCAGTATCAACTTCCACTCATTACTTCCCCCACAAGTGGGTAATTGAAGAGCCCCTTACCTTTCGTCTTATACGTTAACATTTAGTATAAATACCCCATAAGTTTCATTGTATAACTTTTCCCTTCAGTACTTTTTCTGCACTCCTTCTTCCGCTACCATAATCACATCAGTCTCTCAAACTCCACCATTTTTTATGGCATCTTCTTCCTCTAAAACTCACACCACTGGCAACAACTCCATTGCCTTCATTCTGTCAGAGGTTGATGCTCACAAACCACTTCCAAACCCCACTTCTTCTGATGAAAACGTTGTAGCATCTTGGAAAAAACAGATGATTATCCCTTTTGGGGTGGCTGGAAAACTTCACGCATTTCACGGTCCCTACCCTCTTGGCAAACCCAGCCATGAAGCCATGCAACCTTTTTTTCCTGGCCTTCCTGCAGCCATGCCTCCAGCCTTTTGTAAAGGTGGAAAACTTGATTTGAAGTTTATGGCACCGAAAGCTAGGGTGTTCCGTTCAATGCCCACCCCTGGCTACAAGGATTATATGGCCTGGATGAACAAGGTTCAAAACAAATGTCAGGCCCAATGGAAAGAGTCTTGCATCTTCGACGCCATCCAGCTGTCGAGGAATGCTCACAGGGTCAACCCCTGTATCCTCTTGGCGTCCACATTCTTTTGGGAGGGTTCGACAAACACCTTCCAACTACCCTGTGGGATGTTGTCACCTACCCTCTTCGACGTGGCGGCTATCACCAGCCTCTCTCTAGTGGGCGAAACTTTTGACCCCACCATTGAGACAGAGGCCTCTTTCGACTTTGATTGTATCGGGTTTCTGAATTTTATTGAGGACCACCATGACACTGACTCCATCGAGGTATCGAATGAAGAACACATTGCCTTCCTGACTTTGTGGCTCTCGTATCACCTCTTCTACCCAGGTTCTTTGCAGATAGCAAAATGTTATATCAACCTGGCTATTCAAATCCACGAGGGTCGACGGGTGGCCCTGGGCAAGCTCCTTCTAGCCTCTCTGTATCACTCTGTGAGGTCGGCGTCTCTGAAAATTTCCCATCTCTATGACACCACCAAAGCCCTGAACGTGTCGGGGACTAAGTGGCTGCTGCAACATTAGCTAAACGCCACTTTTGAGCACCGACTAGGCTATCCAGTGTCGGCCAAGATGCAACGTTTGATTAAGGACCGGACGGTAGAGGGAGTTCGACTGGCTC